ACAAAATATTGTTCCATCTTGCATTTTAGTTAATTGGAGAAATGCATTCTTTTTAATATTGATTGACTTCCATGTTTTCATTGTAGTAGTTTTATCTACTCATTTTGAATCGAACCATCTTCTAAAATTTCATTTGTTTGATGACATTTCCATTTTTTGATGTATTGGTCGGTCAATAATTTCATTTTGGATTATTCCCATTTCTTCACTACTTTGTGTCATTATTCTCAAATCATCCATATATAATGTATGATTTGATTTTGGGAATTTCTCTTCGATGATTTGAGAAATTACATTCATCTGAATGATGAAGAGTAGATTTGATAATGAATCACCTTGTAAAATTCATTTATTTAATTTAATACTACCTAGATATTCATTAAATTTATAACCGATGAATATCTTCAATCTAGTCATCATACTTTCAATTATGTCAATGATGACAAACTCATAATTAAAATATTTCAATGATTCAATTACACATTCGTGGTTTACTGTGTCATATGTTTTCTTGATGTCATAATATGACTCATCATATTTTGGGTATTTCTCTTCTTTTTGCTGCTTTAACATATAACTATTAATTATTCCTTCTTTAGCAACTAAAGATTGTAACTTACATCCCAGTTGATTTTTACTGATTTTAAATGATTCATTAATCATGTTAAGTCTTCTGTGAATCTTTTCTTTTAATATTGAGGTAAATACTTTCATTATTACATTTGTACAACTGATAGGACGATAATTAGTGACGTCGTTCCTATCACCTCCTTTGTGGATTAATAAAGTTCTTCCACTTACCATGTCTAATGGGATGTTTTCAGGGAAGTTTAACCATTCATTAAAGATACTAAGAATGGCTTCTCTTGATAATGACATTCTTTTCAAATAATACCCATATATAATGTCTATTCATGGTGCCTTCCAGTTACTTATTCTCATTATACTTAAATTTAATTCATTTAATGTTATTATGACACTATCATAATTTCTATATCTTTCATTCCACGAGGTGATTTGTTTTATTTTCCAATAATCTTTATTTAATATCACCTGTGTTTCATATAACGATTTCCAATATTCTAAATTAATATCGTTATTTTTGTATATTTCATTTTTTATTTCTTCCTTATTCTAATTTTCTTGTTAGAATCAAACATGATTTTATTTGTATTGATTCTGACCCTTTCTTCCTTATTAAATTTAATTCTTTCTTTTATCATAGTCATCATATATTTTAGGTATTTTATTCTTTCTAGTGCTTTAACTTTTATTCATTCTTCATCATATTCTTTTAATTTCATGATGCACTTTATTCTGTACCATTTCCTTCCCTTGACCAAATCTTCTAGTCTATTTATTTTCTTTAGGATTTCTTTTATTTCATCAAATTTATCTCTTATTATTTTATTTTGGAGATAGAGGTGCATAATCATTGAAATATCCATATCATCTTGCAGATCATGCATTCTATTTCCTGACATTATCCAATCTATTATTAATTTCCATTATCAATTCGTCAGTTTCTTTTCTTTTCCAGTAGTAATTAATGTTTGTACATTTTTCTATTTTCATTTCTTTCATTTTATTGATGAGAGTGTTAAGATATTCTTCATCAATTTCAGTAGAATTATTCTTTAATATGATTTTTTTTTATTGAATTACACTCTACTCTTCCTTCTATTGTATAATTTACTTTCAATTTAATGTACCGTTTAGTATTTTCTTTTATTTTATGTGATATTTTAACATAATTAATATATTCTTTTTCATTATTGACATTGATGTTTATTACTTTTATTATACTTTCTATTTGTTCCCATCTTAATTTCTTATATAATTTCTTATTTAACCAATTAATTGCAAAACAATACAACACTTCAATTAAAATTCTATTTCTTTGTTTTGTTGTATTTCTTGTCTGACTATCATCTCTTGTTTTTTGACAATCAGTGCTTTTCTCTTCGATTTCCACTACTGTCTTTTTCATCGGAATAACTTCGTTCATCTCCATCGTTCCTGGTGATGCTTTCCTCAATACTGGTTGTGTATTTATCACAAGTATCATCGTTTTCTTCTTCTCTAGTTCCTTCTGTGAGATAAAATTTTCAATATCATCTTGTTGTTTTGATATTATTTGTTTTTGTGTCTCATTTTCTTTTTTTGTGTTGTCTAATTCTTCTCTTGTTATTTCTGCAATTTCTTGACTTATTATTGCTGCTTGTTGAATTTCAGAGATTTGTTTTTCTTTATCTCTTATTTCACTTTTCAGCTCCTCAACTTTCTTCTCTAGTACTTCTGCTTTTTTCTCTAACACATTATTCTTCTCCAGTATTTCTCCTTTTTTCTTCAGCTCTTCTGTTTTCTCCTTTTGTTCATCATTTTCCTTCTGTAATTTCCATTTAGTGGTTTTCAGACTTCGAATGGTTTCTTCTTTGTTATTCATTTCCATGATTTTCCTTCTATCTCATTTATTTCACTGTGTAATTTTATATTTTCTTCTGTTAGTTTTTCATTTTCTTTCTTCTTTTCATTATAATTCGTTTGAACTTTCTTATTTTCTTTTTCATATTTTCTATTTCTTCTTCAAATTCTTTCCTAACTATTTCTTTTGCTTTTTCTATCATTTCATCTGAGATGGTTTGTTCTTCTTCCTTTCTTTTTGCTTGATATTCTTTAATTTCTTCTTCTAATCTTTTAATCTGTTTTTGTAGTACTTTAATTTCTTCTTTTTCTTTATAATTTTCCTCTTCATTCTTTGTTTCTTCTTTATTTTCTTCTTGTGTTTTTCTTTCTTTTTCTGTTTCATTTATTATTTTAGCCATTTGACATCTTTTTGTAATTCTTTGATTGGATTTCTACTTTTGATTTGTGTTTCAATTGCTTGGATATCTTCTTCCCATCATTTTGTTCTTTCCTTAAATTCTTCTTGCATTTTTTCAATTCTCTTTTTCTTTCTAATTGCATATACTTCTTGAAGAATATCATACCATCTTTTCATTTTACCTTCATATTTTTTGAGTATTTCTGAATATTCTCCTTTTTCCCATTTGTTATTCCTTTTATTCTTTCATGTATATCATTTATTGTTAACCATCTATGTCTATTGTTTGTATATTCGTTATTCTTCCAGTATTTATCCTGTTTCTTATTCGTTCTTCTTTGTCTTTGTTGTTTTTTAAACCCTTTTCTCTTGGTATGTCTTTTATTATAATTGTGATATCTTTTATTATAATTGGAATATCTTTTATTGTTGTTATTGGTATTTAACCTTGTATTTCTATGTCTTGTTTGGTTTTCTTTGCAAGACGACAAGGCATTACTCCATAACAATGGCAATAAAATTTGTTGTATATCCTGAATTGGAAAAATATCCGAATAAAATCAAATCAGAAATAGAAATAATGAATGTAATTCAATTTAATGAAAATAAATGAATTAATAATGAATGAATTACAAATGAAATTAAAAAAAGAGAAATAAGATTATAATGAAATATTTCATTTAATATCATTAATAATTTAATATACAATAAATTAATATGAATATTATATGTATTAAATTTACAATTAAAGTCAAATATGATATTATAATTCATTTATATTAATAAATATGAATTATATAATGTTTTATATAACAAATAATAAAAATAAATTAAAAAATGAGATTTCTTAATTTGAAATGATAGAAATAAAGAAAGATAGAAATAAATACATTACATTCATTGAATTGTTCATTTCTTTGTTATTCATATTATCAATTTATTGATATATTTATTAATTGAATATTTATCATTTGTAATATTTCATTTCTATGATATTTATTCATTTTCATTTTCATCAAATCATAATAAGTGATGTTTTATTGAAATATAAATTGTTTGTTATTAATAATTTATATTAAAATATAAAAAGAAGAAAAAATGAATGACGATTATCTTAAAAATAAATAAGTTCAAACTAAAAATAAAAGAAGAACTAATAAATAATAAAATAATAAAGAAAGAATGCAATTAGGATATAATGAAATAATGATTGTCTCGAAGTATTTTGAAGATATTAATGATTTTATTAATTTAGAAATTGGAATTAAAAGATTTCAAGGAAATATGGAACGATTTCATTTTAATCCAATTCCATTGAATCAACATTCAAGAAAATTGTTTCCTAATATTGAAACATTTCATATTTATAATAAAGAAGATGAAATATTTAAAGAAGGAAGAATAATTAAATATGTAATATGGTATGATGTGAGTTATTCAAGATATTTAAAAGAGAAAAAAGAAATGAATGAATATAAAAATATCGCATATACACAAGAAGATAGAAATACATATGGAAATACAATACCAATAGAAGTTAAATCACTTGGATTTAGATGTTTTTATAGATGTTATGATATTCAATCAATTAATATACCAACAAATGTTAGTAAAATAGGAAATTATTGTTTTAAATATTGTTCATCATTACAAACAATTGAAATACCAACAAGTATTAGTAAAATAGGAGGTAGTTGTTTTAGTGAATGTTATTCATTGACATCACTTAATATTCCAACAAGTGTAATTGAAATAGGAGATGATTGTTTTATTCGATGTTCATCATTAACATCAATTAATATAGAAGATATAAAATATATAAGTGAAGAAAGAATATTTATGAATGAAGCAGTGTTAATTAGTATTGAAATACCAAAGAAT